CTTTTGCTGTGTAGTTTTTTATGAGAAATCAGGTGTCAGCTTTATGGGAGCTCTTTTGTAGGTAACAATTTGCTTTTCTCTTGCTGCCTTTAAGATTCTTTGTCTTTAATTTTTGGCATTTTAACTATGATGTGTCTGGGCATCAGCCTGTTTGGGTTCTTTCTGCTGGGGACTCTCTGTGCCTTATGAACTTGTGTGATTTTTTCCTTTACCTGGTTAGGGAAATTTTCTGCCATTATTTCTTCAAACACATTCCCTCTCCCTTTCTGCCTCTTCTGGCACACCTGCTATTCTAATATTGTTGTTTCACATTGTTTCACAGTTCCCTTAAGCTGTCCTCCTATTTTTTCCATTGTTTTTCCTTTTGGTTTTCTGATTTTTCCAACCCTGTCTTCTAATTCACTGATTCGATCCTCAGCTTCCCCTAATCTGCTGTATATTCCTTTCAATGTGTTCTTTATTTGTGCTATGTTGTTCTTTATTTCTGTTTTCATAGGTACTATGTCTTTTCTCATGCTGTTGAGCATCTTTACCTTTATTATTATTCTGAATACTATATAAGATAAATTTCTTATCTTCATTTATCTCTTCCTCTGGAGAATTCTCATTCTTTCATTTGGGGGCTTTGTATCTCCTCATTTTGGCTGCCTGTTTAGGTTTCTGATTATGTATTAGGTAGAACTGCTATGCCTCTCAATCTTTAGTGTCAAATGCTGTTTCTGGCTAATTAGATCAGGCAAAGCCTCCAGAGACCACCTCTGTCTCCAGACTGATAGGATTCTGTCCTGAATTATCCACAAGTATGGAGACAGTTTTTAAAACAAGGTGGGACAATTGCTTCTGCCTAGAGGCTGTTATTCTCAGTCTGCTAATGGGCCTCAGATACTCCACACCTTCGGCCTTCTGAGCTCTAACCCCAGAGTCCCTTCACACAGTCCCAGTCCACTTTTCCCTCCCTCTGCTGGAGCACAAGGTGAGTGGCTCCACAGGGAATTTTGTGCACTCACCCTTTAAGACAGTGCCTGAATTTCCAGCTGTCTTTTCCTGACAGACAGCAACCCTGCTGCTTTTCACAGCCAGATGTTATGTGGGTACCCTTCTCAGTTCTGGTGCTCTCTGCTGGGGGGCCCAGCTTGTGAAGCATCCACTTACCCTCTTACTTTTTGTGCCTCCCAAGACACACAGCCTTGTCATATCTTTCATCAATGGCTTCTTTATAGATGGTGTTTTTTCTAACACATCACATCCTGTTGAAAGGTAGCATCTGACTCCCCCTTAGTGCCCAGCACAGAGTGTCTCCCATGAAATGCTCAATGATATGTGCCTTGGTTCTTTTATGATCTTTACCAATGACTGCACAATATACTATAATCACATCTGAGTAGCCCATAGCTAATGAAGCTATACTAACTTTCCAGGCATCAGTGACCTTCAATGACATGCATGTAACCTCTATTCAGGGACAAAGAGGGCAGCTGTACTTACCCAGAGGACCCTGTACTGAGAAGTGATCCTGAAGTTCTTCAGGCTTCTCATCTCACAGGATAAAGCCTCTCCTCTTCTCTATATGAGGACCTGAAGCTTCTTTCATTCTGTCCTTTCTCTTAAACAGCTCTGTAGGGCACCCTCCATTCCTGTAGCCCCGGTGTGTTCTTGTCTCACTTTCTCCTATCTGGTACTTTCTCTCCTCAGAGCATTTTGAGTAATAAGTATATTCTCCTCAAAATGGCTTGGAGACCAAGGAGAATTTATTGGAAGGAAATGAAACTGTCTTGTAAGAACCCCACAAAAAGTGAAACAATAAGTAGATAAAAGTGATAGATGATTAGGAGAACCCACTAGATGTGACATTTCAGGCCAGAATGAAGCAGCAGCCATGTGAAGATGATAATGATGAAAATAGTTAATACTCATTGAATGCTTTTAAGAAGCCAAACATTATAAGCATTTTATACCAACTAACTCATTTAATCTTCATAATAATCCTGTGAAATAGTTGTTATCACCATTTTACAGATGGGAAGCTGAGGCATGGTGCAGTGAAGTAGTATGTCCAACATCATACAAAGCCATTATGCATGCAACTTGGAAATATACCCAGATAACATGGCTCCAGAGCCTATGTTCTGCACACACACACATAGACATGTATATGTACACACACTTCTGAGCTCTTGAAGGGTATGGAGTGTGCCTTATTTATCTGCCCCATAGTTGATGCTCAAGAAATGGCTAACAGACATAACTGAGCATGATTCTGTATCAGTGACCATAACATCATTATGATCTCAGCCTTATCTTTTACCATAACAAGTTAATGTACTCATTGCTTCCTAAAAACCGTCTCTATTTTTATTTAAAACTCTGGCTTTCTTCTCCTAGTTCAGTATCACTGTAAAAGCATTTTAAATCAAAAATTGTAAATCATTACCATGTGTATGCTTTTTTTATTTCTTAATCTTTATTGTTGAAAGTATTATAGGTGTCCCCCTTTTCCCCCTATGACCCCCTCTACCTTTCTCCCAGCTTCTGGCTCCTCCCCAGGCTTTACCTGCACTATTGTCTGTCCTTGGGCTATGCATCTATGCATATAAGTTCATTGGTTAATCTCTTCCCACCCCATTTCCTTCTGAAATACACCAGTCTGTTGTATGCATCTTTTGAAATGACAATGTATGGGTATTTGGATGAATTCTCTCATAAAATAACAAAATGACATAAAATTATGTGTAGTGAAGGCAAATAAACCTGGGGAATTAAAAGGACTACTTCATTTGTGCAGTACCAGTGCTTAAGAGAGCAGAGAGTGGATAGAGAATAGGAGAAACAGAAAGTTACTGGCATTATCCCACAACTATATATTATGTAGTGGCTAGTCTACCCATAATTACAACATTTCTTTATCTTTTGATACCATGCCATGCTTCCTTCATTATCCCTCAAAGATCCTTCAACATTCCCTAGAATTTCAAAATCTCATGACTAAAAATCAAAGGATTAAGATAAGTCTCTGCTTAAGATTAAAAATTCTCCATTTCATTCCAAACCCCTCTACTGAGAATTGCTAAGGAATGTGCCTTGGTTTTCAGTTAAAGTAGCACATGTACTAGAGTGGTATTTTATCTAAAGTCTGAAACCCTATCACACACTCCACATCGGAATTATTATATCAGGATATACCATTCTGGTTTAAAATAATTTATTACAATTATCAGATGCCATAGAGAACATAATCTGAAATATAACTACATAAACTGCCCTTTAGTTCCAACAGTGTCCACACAATCCTAACCATTGATCTATGTTACCTTTCCAGTCACAAGATAGGAAACCATGGGAGACAGGAAACCATGGGGATAAGTAAGACTATTCCATCTCTTATATAATTCTTATATAAGCCTAGAGGCCCGGTACAAGAAATTCGTGCACTGAGGGACAGGTGTCCCTCAGCCCAGCCTACACCCTCTCCAATCTGGGACCCCTCGGGGGATGTCCGACTGCCGGTTTAGGCCCAATCCCTGGGAATCAGACATCCCTCTCACAATCCGGGACTGCTGGCTCCCAACCGGCAGTCAGACATCCCTCTCACAACCTGGGACTGCTGGCTCCCAACTGCTCACCTCCCTGCCTGCCTGATTTCCCCAAACCGCTTCTGCCTGCCAGCCTGATCACCCCCTAACCATTCCCCTGCCAGCCTGATCGACACCTACTGCTCCCCAGCCGGCCCGGTCCCCCCCAACTGCCCTCCCCTGCCGGCCCAGTCGCCCTCAAATGCCCTCCCCTGCAGGCCCGGTCACCCACAACTACCCTCCCCTGCTAGCCATCTTGTGGCTGTGGGCACCACCATCTTTGAGGGCATGGCAGTCAATTAGCATATTCCCTCCTTATTGGCTGTGGGCAACACCATCTTTGAGGGTGTGGCAGTCAATCAGCATATTCCCTCCTTATTGGCTGTGGGCACCACCACCTTTAAGAGCAGGGCAGTCAATTAGCATATTCCCTCCTCATTGGCTGTGGGCGCCGCCATCTTTTGTGATGGTGTGAGGGTAAATTAGCATGTTCCCTCTTTATTAGATAGGATATTTGAAGCCATGCTTCTTATAAACCGTAATTATCAAGGCTCATTGTAGGAAACAAAAACTCTCATTTCAAGACATATATTACAGAAAATTAATGCTTTCAAAATTGGTAGGTAGGCTGGAGAAGTAATGGAGACAGCCCTGGACTATTAATTTCAAGATAAACCTCTAAAACTATGATTCAGGAAGGGAGAAATGACTGCTGCTATTACTAGTAATGCTGCCAACAGTAATACCCCAAAACCATAAAATCTGAAACTAGACATTGGATCACAGGTGTCTACCTGCAGCAAATACAACAGAACTTGCTGGTCTGCTTTGCCTACAATGACCCCCAGACTGTGTGTGCTTGCAGTTTCATACTTAGTCCTCATCCTTTAGGATTCTAATTAAAAAGCATATCCAGCCTGACCAGTGTGGCTCAGTGGTTGAGCATTGACCCATGAACCAGGAAGTCATGGTTCAATTCCCGGTCAGGGCACATGCCCGGGTTGTGGGCTCGATCCCCATTAGGGGGCGTGCAGGAGGTAACAAATCAATGATTCTCTCTCATTATTGATGTTTCTATCTCTCTTCCCTTCCTCTCTCTGAAATTAATAAAAATATAAGTTTTTAAAAGCATACTCTGATCCCTCATAGTATGCTGTTCCTTGATTATGTTCTCACAAGTACTTGTTAAAAATTTAAATGTGTGAATTAATCCAGTGGAAAAGGACTATGAAATGTCCTTACCAAAAATGAAATTCTTAGCACAGAGATTAGGCAGTTTTTCTTTTTTAACATATATATTTTATTGATTTCAGAAAGGGAGAGGAAGAGATAGAAACATCAATGATGAGAAAGAATCACTTATCAGCTGCCTACTGCATGCCGCCTATTGGGGATTGAGCCTGCAATCCAGGCATATGCCCTGACTGGGAATCGAACCATGACCTCCTGGCTCACAGGTTGACACTCACTGAGCAACACTGGCTGGGCCAGTTTTTCTTTAGGTTTGCTAGTCTCCCACTAAAGGCTGTTGTCAGTCTGATCTTAATTCATCAAGAGGAAAGTAGTAGAAAGTTTTACAAGACATATCAGTGTCACTGTGAGTTTAATATATACAACTGGTTTTATTAGAGACCAAGAATTTCATTCACACCACTTACTTCTTTTGCAAATTTAATTTTCATCTTTATAACATTTACTCAATCCACTGAGTAACTAAATATCTTCCCATGCCTATTAACCAAAGATAATTTCTATGTAGAACTTACGTAAAATTGCAAGCTACTGCTATAAGAAATGCATATTTATTTATAATATGCTTGTTTGCTCTCCTGTAAAACTGTTTACAAATGGCATCATTGCAAAGATTTACATATAATTCCTACATCCTTCAGGTTGTTCTAGCATTAGTACACAGATTGTTCCAAACATTCCATGTCTAAGAAAATAAGAGCTCTTATGAACACTTTGCTACATTTCTTACATACGCTTTCTCTGCAGGGTGAGTTCTTTGATGTAGCATGAGGGATGCACTTTAACTAAAGGACTTTCCACAAATTTATATTCATATTTTGTCTCTCTTGTACATGTTTGTACATATTTCATAAGAGATTCATATTGCCAAGTCTTCCCCATATTTGTTATTACATATATAGAACAGTAAATACAGTGTGGGTCTACTTATTAAAAGATTAATACTGGCTAAAGGCATTCTCACATTTATTGCCTTCATATGGTCTCTCTTCAGTGTGAACTCTGGGCAACATGTCTTGTACCATTGCTAAAGACCTTCCTATAGTTATTATTCTCTTAAGACTTTTCTCCAATATAGATTTTCTGTTACTCAATCAGGGAGGATCAATGGCTGAAATATATTATGAAAAACACTGCATTCATACAGTTTCTCTCATATATGATTTTTCACATGTATAGTGATTCAGATAGCCTAAAGGTTTTTCCACACTTAGGGCACTACTGAGTTTCTCTCCACTATGTATCCTCTGATGGGCAGTAAGATTTGAGCCTTTGCAAAAAGCTTTCCCACATTCATTACATTTATATGGCTTTTCTCCAGTATGAATTCTCTGATGTACAGTAAGATTTGAACTACAACTGAAGGTCTTCCCACATTTTATACATTCATAGGGTTTCTCTCCAGTATGAATTCTGTGATGTTGAAGCAGGGATGACCTATGACTGAAGGCTTTCCCACATATATTGCATTCATAAGGCTTCAATCTAATGTGATTTCTCAAATGCATATTTAGTGATTCAGGCTGGTTAAAGGATTTCCTGCATTTCTGACATTCAAAGGGTTTTTCTTCAGTATGAATACTCTTATGCTGAATAAGAAATGAGAGGCTACTAAAGACTTTCAGACATTTGTTGCATTCAAATTGTTTCTCTATAGTGTGAATTCTTTGATGCCGAGTAAGGTGTGAGCTACAGCAAAAGGCTTTTCTACATTCACTACATTCATAAGGTTTCTCTCCAGTATGAATTTTCTGATGGTGAATGAGAGATGACCTATGAATGAAGGCCTTCTCACATATTTGACACTCATAGAGTTTTTCTTGAGTATGAATTCTCAGATGCTCAATGAGATGTGAAACACGACTAAAAGACTTTCCACAGTTCATACATTCATATGGTTTCTCTCCAGTGTGAGTGCTTTGATGATTAGTAAGTGATGAGACATGGCTAAAGGCCTTCCCACAGTCAATACATTTGTAAGGTTTCTCACCACTATGGCTTATCTGATGGCGAGTAAGGGATGAGCCATGGCTAAAAGTCTTCCCACATTCACGACATTCATAAGGTTTCTCTCCTGTATGAATTCTCCAGTGGCGATTAAGAATTGATTGTTTGCCAAAGGCTTTCCCACATTCACTGCATGTATAGATTTTCTCTCTATTATAAGTCTGGTGAAGGGTACGAGATTTGCTCTGGCTGAAGGCTGCCACACTTCCATTAGAATTCAAAAGTTTCTTTCCACCATTGATATTCTCATTTTTTATAAATGACTTTTTCGGTAAGATCTTCTTAAATATATCATGTTTATGTGATTTCCCTTCAGCAGAAATTCTCTGTAGTTCAGAAAGAATAGACTTTAAATTTAAATAGAAAATGTTTCTAAATGTATTGTATTTATAAACACATTCCCCATTGGGATTTTCTCTAAAGGTGAATGTCACTGGTCTAAAATGTTCTACCTAATTTACATGCTTTCCCTCCAACTTTTCTATATATTCCCAGTCCTTGTTAAAATTTAAAAATTCACAACTTTATCATTTTTTCTATTATTACCGTCTGGGGTGAGTCATCCTCATAAATATCCTCCTTCGCTGATAATTCTTTGTTTTCCCAATCTGCAATATATCAAGAAAGCAAAGCACTTCTTTTTATGTACTTCTTTGGAAAGAAATTTCTATGACAGAAATAGAATTGGATAAAAAATAAAGTCCCACCCACCCGCCAGCTCGAAAACACATAACTCTGACAACTCTCATATATTCCATCATTTCTGAAAAAAGTTAAAGCAGAGCACAGAAAACACAGATAGCTCACAGAGGCAGGAAGAGAGTACAATAAGGGACAGGGGTTAATTAAGGGCAATCAATATCTTGGAAAAAATGAAACTGTCAAGCAGAATGTGCAGAAGGCATTCTGGAATCCAAGCCAGTATTTTGTGCCTATATTTATGTGAAAGAACACATTCAATCTCAGAGCCTTGGTTCTAGAACAGGGGTGGGCAAACTTTTTGACTCGAGGGCCACAGTGGGTTCTTAAACTGGACCGGAGGGCCGGAACAAAAGCATGGATGGAGTGTTTGTGTGAACTAATATAAATTCAAAGTAAACATCATTACATAAAAGGGTACGGTCTTTTTTTTTTTTTAGTTTTATTCATTTCAAACGGGCCGGATCCGGCCTGCAGGCCATAGTTTGCCCACGGCTGTTCTAGAACCTTTAATCAATCTCAATTTGCTATCAGATTAGTATGCTTAAAATGCAGAATTTATAGTGTTGCATTAAACAGTTACAATGACAACAAAATAATCTAAATATACTTTACAGCTCACAAAAATTTAGGCTTTTGTGAGTTTATGTAGTACCTATATAAAATCATAATTTTCTTGGACATTAGAAAATATTGTTCTTAGAAACTTTCTTATACGTTCTTTATTTCCTCTAACACTTATTTATGTTCATATTTGATCTCTGAAGTTCAGCCTTAGCGGAAAAGTGATTTTCTATCCAACTGACAGCTTTTCTTAACCTAAAACCATCAATATAGTTTCCCTTAAGTGGATTTAAAAAGAATAATTTGCCTCCACTTTAAAATTTTTATTTATTTAATTTATTATTATTTTAATATATTTTTACTGATTTCAGAGGGAGAGGGAGAGATAGAAACATCCATGATGAGAGAGAATCATTGATCAGCCGCCTCTTGCACACCCCACACTGGGGATCGAGCCCACAACCCGGGAATCGAACTGTGACCTCCTGGTTCATAGATTGACGCTCAAACACTGAGCCATGATGGTCAGGAAAAAACCTCCACTTTTGATTAGATGACATGAATAATACAGAAAGATAATTTTGGATGGAGAAATGGTTATTCTGAAATCTAAGCTTAAGGATCCCTCAATTTTGTTATATTTGGGAATCTCTGAAGACAGTCTCCCTAAGATTTCCTAAAATGCCCGCCACTCCCCCACCCCCCACTTTCTACAAGCATCTTTAACAAAGACCTCTTTTGCCAGATTCACCATGATTTACCTGGAAACATACCTTTTCTCAGTTTTTTCTCCACCATCCAAGGTTCTTTCCCATCCTCCAATAAAGTGATCACATATGGCTTAGGTATCGAAAGACCTGCTTACAGGAAAAATATAGAATTTGTTTAAGCTGTGGTCCTCATGGGGAGATGCCATCATCACAAAAGGGACCAAAGGACGGTTTAAAGAATGTTCCCTGAAAGGGAAGATAAGCTTCAGGCAGGATATAACAGAGCTTCACTTTCCTTGGGAACATAAAAGAAAAATTCAGCCATTTACTCAGGAAGATTTCCATCAATTCAGAGTGGCAAAAAAAAAAAAAAAAAAAAAAAAAAAAAAATCTCCCCTGTTGGTGTGGAGGTGGAAGTAAGCAAATTATAATATGCTTACCTAGAGAGACCAGGTTCTCATAATTCTGGACCATCACATCCTTGTATAAATCCCTCTGAACAGAATCTAGCCATCCCCACTCTTCATGAGAGAAGTCTATGGCCACATCACTAAATGTTACCTGAAATAGCAAACACATTTAGACTCAATTATAACCCAAACCTCTTCTTGTCACTGGACAAAGGGTAAAGTTACCCTGGTTATAAAAGGGGACAAGATGCAGCAATTGTGACAGTAATTAGAAATCTGATATAAGTAAACTAATAATTGGGTAATTACATTCTTGGCATTGTTGTACAGTAAGGGTGAGACAAATTAAGAACTTTGCTTCAGGAGAGTTAATTTTTTCAAAGGGAATAGAGTTATAATTTTTTTTAAAAATCAGCATTCAACATTTAACAGCACACAGTCAAATTGTACTTTTTGTTGTCATTTTTTTAAAAATATACTTTTATTGATTTCAGAGAGAAGGGATAGGGAGAAAGAGATAGAAACATCAATGATAACAGATAATTATTGATGGGTTGCCTCCTGCATGCCCCTACTAGGGACTAAGCCTGTGCCCTAACCGGGAATCAAACTGTGACCTCCTGGTTCATAGGTTGACCCTTCAACCACTGAGCCATGCTGGTTGGGCTCAAGTTGTGTTTTTTATAACTTACATGCTAGGTAAATAAAAATGTTAAGAGTAGACATATACATAACTAATTTATAAACAAACAAAAAACACTTATGGTATACTTAAACCTTGTATTGATAATCAATCTGTAATTAAAATAATTTAAGACTCCTTGTACAAGAAGACTAAAGGATGGTTTCATGCCATAGGTAGTCCTTGAATAGAACCTTAAAGTAAGGGTAAAGAATAACATTTCACAGAAAATATTATAAGGAAGTAGATTTCTTCTCAGAAACAGTGATCATTCATGGTGGTATTAAAATATCAAAATATTAGAAAAAGTTTAAATGTTTATTATGCTTACTGGTTAGTCAAATTATAACATATGCAAAAATGTATGTATTTAAAATGGCATTATTAGTATCTTTCATTGGTAAAATAGACATTGTTTGGCCATGGTAAATTTTTCACTCCATAAGTGGTTGATTCAATATTCTATTACTGAGAACCAAGATGGTGGCATAAGTAAACACCAGTACTTGCCGCCTCCCACAACCACATCAAAATTACAACTAATTTTGTAAGCTGGCTGAATGGAAGTCCTACAACTAGAGAAGTAAACAAGAAAGCACGCTGAAACTGGTAGGAGGGATAGAGGCTCAGACTGGGCTGGTCAGGCACCCAGGGGGGCCATTTTTTTAACCCAGAGGGAGATTGTTCCTCCGGAGGCTGCTATGAGGAGCAAGAAGTCCCAGCCCCACACCAGACCACCCACCCAGGGCCCCAGAGCTGGAAAAAGAAGTCCCTGTAACTTTGGGCTGTAAAAACCAGTGGGCATTGGGGCTGAGAGATATGAAGGCTGCCAACGACCCAGGTGTCCCTCTCAAAGGACCAGGCATGAACTTACTCGGACTTGTTTCCTCTGAGCTCCAGCGCCAGGAGAAGTTAGGGGACCCAGACACATATGGGGAGGAACTGAATTGTCTGGCATTGGGGCAGGAACTCGGGGGTGGCTTTCTATCAGTCAGAGGTGCTTGCAGAGGTCATTGTTCCTATGCCAAGACCTCCCCTGTCCCAGGGCTGACTGGAAACCATATCTGAGTCCCCATCAACCTGGAACACACTGTTTGCCCTACCCTAGTGATTCCCTGAGAGCCCACCCCATCCAATTTGCAGCCTCACCCAAGCTGTTCGCAGCAGTTTTTCCATATGAATGGCCTGTCCTGGCTCAGGCTTCACACTTTGCTAAAATCTCTTAAACAAGCTACAGCTGGTGTCAGCGTGCCCCAAACCTATCCATAAAAGGCCCAAGACCCAGCACCAGCCTGCCTTGCTTCACAGCTGGGCCTCGCCTGGGCACTTCTAAACCTGATACAAATAGGAGAAATCTGTAGATCTTTCTGTAGCTCCTGCGGGACGGCCCCAGACAGTGGCTGACTTTGTATCTCCCTGGAGACCCAAGAACCTGTGCACCTGGTGGACAGCTTCAGACCATACTAGATTACAACTCTACACCTCAACAAGCAACACACTGAAGCAGCAGACTCAGCGAGCACCACCACCCTACTGAAGCAAGTCCTGCTCCACAGGGGTATTTCCTGCACAGCAGATCTCCCACTATAGTCACAGCTGGTACTCATAGCCAATTGGTCTGAAGGTGAATTCCTCCCAGTGACACCAACAGCAATCAAGTCTCAACTACAACAAAACTGTGCACACAGTCCACAAAAGGGTGCATCTGGAGTGCCCAGCTCAGGAGACTGGAGAGGCTGAGCCACTGGGCTCTATGGGACACCTACTACACAAGGCCACTCTACCAAGTCCAGGAAACATTACAGTTCTACCTAATACATAGAAACATAGGGAAGCAGCCAAATTATTGAGATAAAGAAACATGTCACAAATGAAATAAATACTAGAAAGCAGAGTTCAAAACCATGGTTATAAGGTTACTCAAGGGTTTTCATAAGATCTTCAAGGAGACTTTTAAGGATCTGGTGATAATGCCAAAGACATGGAAAAGGACCAGTCAGAAATTAAGCATACACTACATGAAATAAAGAATAATTTACAGGGATTCAATAGTAAAGGATTACGATAATCAAATAAATGATTTTAAATATGAGGAAGCAAAAAACACCAAATCAGAAGAGCAAAAAGAATCCAAAAATATGAAGATAGTGTAAGGAGCCTCTCAGACAACTTCAAGGGTACCAACATTCACGTTATGAGGTTGCCAGAAGGAGAAGAGAGCAAGATATTGAGAACATATTTAAAGAAATAATGACAGAAAACTTCCCCTACCTGGTGAAAGAAATAGACTTACAAGTCTAGGAAGCGCAGAGTCCCAGACAAGAGGAACCCAAAGAGGCCCACACCGAGACACATCATAATTAAAATGCCAAGGGTTAAAAGCAGCAAGAGAAAAACAGTTAGTTACCTTTCAGGGAGTGCCCATACGACTGTCAGCTGATTCCTCAACAGAAACGATACAGGCCACAAGAGAGTGGCAAGAAATATACAAAGTGATGAATAGCAAGAACCTACAACCAAGATTACTCTACCCAGCAAAGCTATAATTTAGAATTGAAGGTCAGATAAAGAGCTTCCCAGACAAGAAAATGCTAAAGGAGTTCATCACCACCAAACCAGTATTACATGGAATGTTGAGGGGTATTCTTTAAGAAAAGGAAGAAAAAAAATAAAAAACATGAACAATAAAATGGCAATAAATCTATCAACAACTGAATCTAAAAATCAAAATAAATAACAAGTAAATATACACTGAGTGGCCAGATTATTATGACCACCTGACGTTTGTAGGCAAATTAGCTATAATTTCACACTGAAGTTGCTAGAGGGGCCAGACCATTATAAATAGGGAAGCAGGTTGTTGGACAGTCGAGCATTGGAAAAAAGTCATGTGGTCTGATGAATCACGTTTACAGTTGCATCATGCAGATGGCAGAGTGAGAATTTGGAGGAAACAGCATGAAAGCATGCACCCCACATGTATGAGTATTTCCATCACACTCAAGGGGTCAAAGAGCCACAGTTTGCCGACCACTGTACTCGTATGTTCACTAGTGACACTGGTCTTTGGTTTCAAAATGGGAATTTACCTTTGTCAGATGTTGGAGAAATAATGAAAAACCATTATCTACAAACAAGAGGAACTGTCAAGCAGAAAATCTTCTCTACAATGTAGAAAAGAAAGAGACAGGTTTATTATTGAATAAGCATTAAACCAGACTGTAATGCACTTCATAGGACATCACTAATGAGACTTTAAGGATAGAAAGAAATCTGACCCTTTTAAAAAGCCAGGTAGATACAACCAATATATACATGCTTTCAAAATAAGTAACTTGTCCTCCATTTGCTACACATAGTTCATCCTACATTCACCTGGTAACTGATATAACCATCTGTGTTAATTGCCTTTACTCCAAAGAAAAATAAAACTTCTTTATCTTTATGACAAGCAGACAGAACTTGAAACCAGAAGCCTAGGCTAAACTCCCACAGACAGGTAGTTAAGGGTGCATCTTCCTTCATGTCTGTATTTCAAAGAGATGGGTCCAAAGCCCTAAGAAAGACTTTACTTCCTTGAAATATTGGCAGAGGGTATTAAGCTTTGAAAAAGGTTTATAAGCATCTCAAGGGGACAAGGAAAGCATTTACAATGACAGGTTTTTCTCAAGGAAATGTTCTAAGAAAAGGAAGGGGTGGAACAATGTCTGAATGGCACAACATACCTAAGTATCGTTGCTGATCAGGTTCATCCTATCATGTTGATGGCGTATCCCAATGGAGATGGCTTCTTCCAACAAGACAATGCGCCATGCCACGGTGCTCGCATTGTACAGGAGTGGTTTCAAGAACATCAGGGAGCCTTTACCTTGCTTAGGTGGCCCCCACAATCACCAGATCTCAATCCAATTGAGGACTTGTGGGATGAAGTTAAAAGAGCCATCAGGCAGCAGGTTCCACAACCATCAAATCTCACAGAACTGGACAGTGCTATTCATTAGGCATGGTGTCAGATTCCTCGCATCACCTTTCAACATCTCGTGGAGTCAATGCCAAGAAGAATCACCGCAGTATTGAAGGCAAAAGGTGGCCCAATGAAGTACTGATGGGGTGGTCATAATAATCTGGCCACTCAGTGTGTATATATATATATCCCATGTTCAAAGGCTGTTAAATCACGTTGTTTACCCATATCTTCAGAAAAAATTCACTTCTACTTTCGTGGTAAACAACCTGCTTCTCTAATTATAATGGTCTCGCCCCTTCAGCGCGAAATTATAGCTAATTTGCCTACAAACGTCAGGTGGTCATAATAATCTGGCCACTCAGTGTATATATTCTATTAATTTATTAGGATATTTTGCATGTACTAGTTACAGTGGTCGGCAAACTGTGGCTCGCAAGCCAATGCGGCTCCTTGGCCCCTTGAGTGTGGCTCTTCCACAAAATACCGACTTCTGCGCATGGGCCACGAAGTTTCAATCACACTGTATGTGCCCGCCCGCACGTGGTATTTTGTGGAAGAGCCACACTCAAGGGGCCAGAGCAGCGAAGCCTGACGGCCCCGGCCGGAACCCCGGCCAGAGCGAAGGCCTCGGTCCCAGGTGCCAGAGGCAAACTGGTGCCAGCAGCCAAGGGAAGGCAAGGCCTATTGCACGAATCTCTTCGTGCAACAGGCCTCTAGTTTTATATAATAAGAGGATCATTGTGACAGCTGTATTAAGGAGAGTCAAGGTCAGAAGCAGGGAATCCTGCTAGAAAGCTACTGCAATAATCAAGGTTGGCTTGGACCACAGTGGCAGTGGAGGTGGCAATGATGGGGTAACTAATGGTCAGATTCTGTATATATCCTGTACGTATATATTTTAGAACTAACTGAAGTGCCTGAATGTGAGTTATAAGAGAAAGGGGGAATCAAGATGACTCCAAACATCTCTTGACTTAAATAACTGAAAGGACTTATATACCATTAATTGAGACCACATGATACAGCTTTAACAACCATAAAGCAAATAGCCTAAATTTCCAAATTTGAATTTTGAATTGTAATTTTTAAAAGTTTAGCTCTAGCCAGTTTGGCTCAGTGGATAGAGCGTTGGCCGGAGGACTGAAGGGTCCCAGGTTTGATTCCAGTCAAGGGCATGTACCTCAGTTGCAGGCTCCATCCCCCGCCCTGGTTGGGGCAGCTGTGGGAAGCAACCAATCACATCGCTGTTTCTCTGTTTCTCCCCCTTCCTTCCACTCTCTCTAAAAATCAATGGGAAAATATTCACAGGTGAGGATTAACAACAACAACAACAGTTTGCTCAAGACTCTACAGAGGCTTCTAGCAGACAACTGGTAGAAAAGAGAAACTTAGAGAAGATAATACTTTGGAGTTCTTCAGGCTCCATCCTTTGCTACAGTGAAAGGAATCACAGATCCAGTCCCTAAATGGACTTTGTTAGGAGGGAACTGATAGGAGAAGGAAAGCAAACACTTAAGAGTCCTGATTAAAAGGTGCTTCGGGAAGATCTGAGGACTTACCTGGAACATGACTTTGCAATTTCCAGTAGTCAACACAGTTGTCTTTCCAGGCTCTTGTATAACTGGAGGGCACTGTCCTGAGATGGCAAATTAAGGGCAGGAAAAAGCAGTCATGAAAAATTGGGACTATCTTGCAGCTCTGTGACACACCTGCGTGGAGAAACACAGGGGAATCATTTTCTAGGGCTCCGACCTTATTTGAACTAACAGAATATTCCCTGGCACGACGTAACTAAACCATTTACTAGGTTCCACTTGCAAGTTAATCAACTTTTATATTACCTAAGAGAGAAACTCATAAAACAACAGTAGTAAGCATGTTAAATATGAGTTGATTTAATCGTCACCACTCTGCACGGTGGGCATTCACATTATTCCAGATTTCTTTTTTTAAACGACTTGACAATTGAAAGGGCGATATTGAAACAATTGTTCCAGGTTACACAACCGGAAAGCGTCAGCTTCTTCACTGGATGACACAAAAACAAGTGCAGACGGCGTTTTCTTCCGTCGGTACTCCGTGCACTCGCTCGCCCATTTTCTTTTCACGCGCTCTACGAGGTGCGCGCCGCCTGGCACCCCTTCCACACAGCATGCCAGAGGCCCGGAGAGCTAAGGCCCTCGCGGGCTCACACCGCGGGGAGACGCTGGGAGCAGCAAGGGCTCGGGCCGTGCCAGCGCCCGGGGCCGGCCGTTAGCCGGAGGCCCGCGCCAGCCCACCCCGGGACCCACGCTTGCCCAAATCCGCGCACCGGACGCGCCGGGTCGCTGTGCGCGGACAATGGTCGCCGCCCTCACGGGAACTGCACCGCCGCGTCCTCCCAGCGTCCAGGTCGGAGCATTCCGCCTGGCCCGACACTAGCGCGGGGTGGACCACGAGCGCAACCCCCAGCAAGGCGCCATTTCTCAGGCTTCTCCGCGCAGCACACACTAGTTACCGGTGCTGCGCCCGGTCGCCTCCAGCAAAACCACACTTCCCAGCAGTCTCCGCGGCCGCGCGCGGTCTCCGCGCCCCGCGAGAGCTCGGCCTGGACGCGGGGGGCGGCGGGACACGCGCGCAGAGTGAGGAGGGGCGACGGGAGCCTCTGGTGGACTCGCCGCCTGCTCCCCGCGGCGTTGTAAGCGCCATCGCGTGTGAATCCCGGAAAAGTGTGCGGGCGAACGTGGTCGTTCGCTCGTGGGTTCCGCCGGCCGCCTTCCGACCTGACCTTTCGGACGCGCTTAGGCGTCGGGAGTAGTTCACTTCTTAAAACCCTCTCTTCTCCCAAAACTCCCTCCAGCAAATGCTCCACGTCTATTCTCAGTAGAAAAACTTCTTGAAATGTTTTTCTAAGTTAATTTTCTATAATTTAAATAGGGAAACATTCCTATGACTTTCCTGGGCTGCTTTTCTCTGGGTCATTATCATCTCATTACTAAATATAAGAGACACGTTTCTTTTCTTGACCTCTTAGCATTTGCTATAACTGGCCATTTTTCATCAGTCTCTTCTCATGGTTCTATGATCCTACATTTTTCTCAAATTTCATCTTCACGGTTGCCGCTTCTCGGTTTCCTTTTCTTGTTCATCTTTTTTGAGCTCTAAATGGGTGTGCTGCCCTAGCAGGTCTGGCTCCGTGGATAGAGCGTCTGCCTGATGTTCGATCCCTAGTCAGGGCACATGCCCGGTGGTGGGCTCAGTCCCCAGTGGGGGGCGTGCAGGAGGCAGCCGATCAATGATTCTCTCTCATCATTGATATTTCTAGCTCTCCCTCTCTCTTCCTCTCAGAAATCAATAAAAATATTAAATAAAAAAAATTAAAATAGGTGCGCTTTTTAATTTTTTTTTTTTTTTTGTTAATCCTCACCTGGGGTTATTTTTCCATTGTTTTTGTTTTTGTTTTTGTTTTGTTTTTTAGAGAGAGAGAGGTGAAATGTAGGGAAGAGACAGACAGAAACCTCGATGTGAAAGAAACACAACGATTGGTTGCCTCCCTCACAGGTCCAACTGGGACAAGTCAAGCCTGCAACCAAAGTACATGCCTCTGACCCGAATCAAACCGGGGACCCTTCAGTCTGCCGGGCAAAGCTCTATCCACTGAGCCAAACCGGCTAGGGCTTGAACTCTAAATGTAAAAGGGACACAGGACTTGATACTTGGCCTCCATTTTTCATATTTTTTACATGTTTTCACTTTTGCATTTTCATGTGTTTATGAATCATTTTTAAATATGACTCAAGTCTTTATCTATAGCCCAGCCTTCCCTCTCCGTGGAATTCAATCCACATGTCTACCTCCCAGCTCACGTGGTTGTTCATTGTCAAACTGCACAAGTTTCACCAGACCCACACAGGTGTTGTCTCCTTATTCCCATCCTCTTTCAAGCCCCCACCAATTAGTAAAAGGAATCACCATCCCCCTATTCGATAAAGCTGACCATCCAGACATTTCACTTTATTTCACTCTTGTCCTCACCCTCCCCACATATACACAGTAACAGACAGTATTGTTTTCAATCTGCCTCAAAGTAATTGGCCATCAGGCTTCATTTATTCATATTCAGTTCTCACATTAAAAACTGCAATTGCTGAGGAAACTCCTTACTGTTCTCCACAATGGCTGCACCAGTCTGCATTCCCACCAGCAGTGCACAAGGGTTCCTTTTTCTCCGCATCCTCACCAGTACTTGTCCTTTGTCAATTTGTTGATGATAGCCATTCTGACAGGTGTGAGATGGTGTCTCATTGTCATTTTGATTTGCCTGTCTGGGATGATTAGTGACTTTGAGCATGTTTTCATATGTCTCGTGGCCTTCTGTATGCCCACTTTCGAAAAGTGTCTAAGTCCTTTGCGCATCATTTTATTGGATTGTTTATTTTTCTTTTGTTGAGATGTATGAGTTCCCTATACATTATGGCAAATATATTCTCTCATGCAGTGGGCTTTCTTGTTGTTTTGTTGATGGTTTCTTTTGCTATGCAGAAGCTTTTAATTTTGATGTCCCATTTGTTTATTTTCTCCATAGTTTCCATTGCCCTCGGAGCTATATCAGTAAAGATATTACTACGACATATGTCTGATATTTTGCTGCCTGTGGAGTTTTCTAGGATTTATGGTTTCCTGTATTACGTTTAAGTCCTTTATCCATTTTGAGTTTATTTTTGTGTATGGTGCAAGTTGGTGGTCTAGTTTCATTTTTTTGCATGTATCTGTCCAATTTTCCCAACACCATTTATTGAAGAAACTGTCTTGACGCCATTGTATGCTCTTGCCTCCTTTGTCAAATATTGATTGAGCATAATGTCTTGGGTCGATTTCTGGAGTCTCTGTTCTCTTCCATTGGCTCTTGTGCCAGTACCAGGCAGTTTTGAGATCAGTGGCTTTGTACCTTAATATAGCTGGTATTGTGATCCCTCCAACTTTGTTCTTCTTTCTCAAGATTGCTGCAGCTATTCGGGGTCTTTTTTGTTTGTTTCATATGAATTTTTGGAGAGTTTGTTCCTGGACTGTGAAATATGCTGTTGGTATTTAAATTGGGATTGCATTAAATCTATAGGTTGCTTTAGATAGTATGCACATTTTAATTATGTTGATTCTACCAATCCATGAACACGTATACCAGTATTCTTCCATTTGTTTATGTCTTCCTCTATCTCTTTTTTCAATGTCCTCTAGTTTTCCAAGTACAGTCTTTTACCTCCTTAGTTAAGCTTATTCCTAGGTATCTTAATTTCTTTGGTGCAATGGTAAATGGGAGGGTTTTTGTTATTTCTGTTTCTATGAGTTCATTATTGGTGTATAAAAAAGCCATAGATTTTGGGTGTTAATTTTGTATCCTGCTACATTGCCAAATTCATTTATTAAATCTAGTAGTTTTTTTATGGAGTCTTTGGGGTTTTCAATGTACAATATCATGTCACCTGCAAATAGTGATAGTTTTATTTCTTCTTTTCCAATTTGGATGCCTTTTATTTCTTCTCCTTGTCTGATGGCTATGGCTAGCACTTCCAGTACTCCATCAAACAGGAGTGGTGAGAGTGGGCATCCCTGTCTTGTTCCTGTTTTAAGGGGAAATTATTCTAGTTTTGCCCATGAGTATGATGTTGGCTGTAGGTTTGTCATATAAGACTTTTATTATGTTGAGATATGATCCCTCTATTCCCACTTTGCTGAGAGTTTTTATCAAGAAAAACTGTTGGATTTTGTCAAATGCTTTTTTCTGCATCAATTGATATGATTATGTGATTTTTGTCTCTCAGTTTGTTTATGTGATATATCATGTTTATTGTTTTGTGGCTATTGTACCATCCTTGCATCCCCAGAATAAATCCCACTTGGTCGTGGTGTATGATCTTTCTAATTAAGGCTGGATCCGATTTGTTAGAATTTTGTTGAGGATTTTAGCATCCATGTTCATCAGAGATATTGGCCTATAATTCTCTTTCTTTGTAGTGTCTTTATCTGGTTTGGGGATTAGGGTAATGCTGGCTTCATAGAAAGAGTTTGGAAGAGTTCCTACCTCTAGAATTTTTGGGAATAGTCTGAGGAGGATAGATTTTAGTTCTTCTTTGAATGTTTGGCAAAACTCCTCTGTGAAGCAGTCTGGCCCAGGGCTTTTGTTTGCTGGAAGTTTTTTGATTACTGCCTCAGTTTCCCCCATAGTTAATGGCCTATGCAGATTTTTTTATTCTTCCTGATTGAGTTTTGGAAGGTCATATTTTCTAGGAATATGTTCATTTCTTCTAGGTTGACCAGTTTGTTGGAATATGGTTGCTCATAGTATCCTATCTAATAAAAGAGTAATATGCAAATTAACCATCAATCCATCACACCCTCACTCCGTCACAAAGATGGTGGCGGCACAGAGCTGGAGCGAGCAGGAGGCTTGGGTTGCCCCTGGCAATGGAGGAAGCCAAGCTTCCCACCTGCCCTGGCTGGCCCTGGGCTCCGCTCAAGGCTACAAAGTTTCAATTATAGAAGATAGATAAATCCCAGATACCTGCTTCAAGACCGTGGGCATGGCCAGCCTGAAAATGGCCCTCAGCCCCTCACCCAGGCTGGCCAAGCACCCCAGTGGGGACCCCTACTCTGAAGGGGGTGTGACTAGCCTGCAAACAGCCATCAGCCCCTCACCTAGGCTGGCCAGGCACCCCAGCGGGATCCCCACCCTGATCCAGGACACCCTTCAGGGCAAACCAGCCAGCCCCCACCCGTGCACCAGGCCTCTATCCTATAAAATAAAAGGGTAATATGCAAATTGACCCTAACAGCAGAATGACTGGGAATGACTGGTCACTATGACACACACTGACCACCAGGGGGCAGACGCTCAATGCAGGAGATGCCCCTGGTGGTCAGTGCGCTCCCACAGAGGGAGCTCTGTTCAGCCACAAGCCAGGCTGACGGCTGCCAGTACAGCAGTGGTGGCGGGAACCTCTCCCGCCTCCTCAGCAGCACTAAGGATGTCCAACTGCAGCTTAGGCCTGGTCCCCACTGGCAAGTGGACTCCGAGGGCTCTGGGTTGCCAGAGGGATGTCTGATTGCCAGCTTAGGCCCACTCCCTGGTGGGCAGCAGGTGGACATCCCCCAAGGGGTCCCAGACTGCGAGAGGGCACAGGCAGGGCTGAGGGATCCCCCCAAGTGCAGAAAATTTTGTGCACTGTGCCTCTAGGTTTATTTTATAATTCTTTGTATTTCTGTGGAGTCTGTTGTTATTTCACCTCTTTCATTTCTGATTTTGTTTATTTGGGTCCTCTCTCGTTGATCTTCATGAGCCTGGATAGAGTTTCATCAATCTTGTTTATCCTTTCAAAGAACCAGCTCTTGGTTTCATTGATTTTTTTGTATTTTTTTGGGGGGGGATCTCTATGTCATTTATTTCAGCTATAATCTTTATTACTTCCTTCCTTCTGCTCATTCTGGGCTTTTCTTGTTACTCTCTTTCTAATTCTTTAAGTTGTAGAGTTAGATAGTTTATTATCAGTTTTTCATGTTTTTTGAGGTAGGCCTGTAATGCTATGATCTTCCCTCTCAGGACTACTTCCACTGTGTCCCAGAGATTTAAAATGGAACTCCCATTTGACCCAATAATCCCACTTCTAGGAATATGTCCCAAGAAAATC